GACACAGTGTCCAGGCTGCCAGTTGGGAAGATGTTCACGCTCGACAGACTCGTCTCATCACCGGGCGCTCCGCCACCGCCCGCAACCGGCACCGGTACCGGCATTTCTTGACGTGTCTCCGAGTCGGTCGAGTTCGAGTCCGGCCGGCCGGAGCCGGAGCCGGAGCCGGAGCCGGAGCCGGCGACGGCGGCCAACGCGCAGATGAGCTGGTTGACGTAGGCATCGGAGAGGCGCTCGAGCACCAGCGAGGCGAGACGACGTCGCGCGGCCAATTGGAAGAGCCGCACCAGTTGGACGGTCATCTCGGAGGCGCAACTGGGAGGCGTCGACTCGACGGCGCCTCGCTCCGTCGCCGTGCCGACCGAGTGCAATTGCTGGTGCCACGAGAGCCCGACGGGGGCGGCCAACAACGGCCGATTGGCGTCCGGTATCTGCGCGTGAAGCGGCTGGCCGGCGGTCGGCTGACGCCGGTCGGGCGGTGATGCGAGACGGTGTTCACTCAAGCGTGTCAACGCATTCAACACGGCCCGATTGACCTGTTTCAAGTCGATCACCAGCGCCACTCGGTCCCAGAATCCTGCCGCCAGAATGCAGTCGTGCCAGGCCCGGCAGACGGTGCAAAGTGTGAGCAGGTGTGATCCGTCCATGTGAAAGAGGACACGACGCAACACACTCTCCGCCTGCCACAGTTCTGCCACACATCTGGCGCGAGTTCTGCTCTTTCGCCGGACATAGTCGCGATAGCGAGTGCGTCGTGGCGGCGGCGGCGGCGGCGGCGGCGGCAACGGCAACGGCGACGGCAACGGCGACGGCGACGTCAACGTCAACGGAGGCGGCTGCTGCGGCTGCGGCTGTTGGCAGATGAGCTGAGAAGAGGCGGCCGACAAGAGGAGCGGCGGAGTGGGCGACGGCGACGAGGACTGCGATTGACCGACCAGAAGCCAGGCGGCGTGTGAGCTGGTCATGCCGACGATCTGGCGTCGGACGCCGAACCCGAAACCGGCGAAACCGTGGCCACCGGCGGACGCGCTGGCGGTCGTCAAGTGGCCGCCTCGGGGACTGCTCGGCGCCGACGGTGTTGCCAAGTCGATCTTGAGACCTTCGTTGAAGAGGCGCTGTTTGATGGCGGCCACGGTGCTGCCGCGATGCGGCAGAACGGGCGAAACATCGGCCGAACTGGAGGCGCCGGCGCATCTGCTCGAGTCGAGACGAGCAGAGCCGCCGGAGAAGACGCCTCGGCCGGTGTGTAGCAACGAGGCCTGGCTGGTGGCGGCCGAGAGGAAGCCGATTTGGCCGCTGCTTTTGGCCAGCGCGGCCATTCGATGCGCCAAAGTGGGCGAAAACGGAGGCATGCAAATGTTGGAGCTGGATGAGTGGGACGAGGAATAGGCTGTCGCATCTTCACGTGAAGACGTGGCGCACTGTCGAGTGCAAGGCATGACGACGGGTTGCCGTGGCGAGAGAGACGATCGGACAGACGCTGTCGTCGAGGCGGTCGTGCCGATGGCCGACGCAGACGACGTTGTCAGATGGTAGTCTTTACGTTTCGTCAAACCCGGCGTTTCCGGCTGTGTGTGGCGAGTGTGAGTGGAGTGAAGAGGAGCATCGCTTGGCGACCGGACGTCGACAGCAACGCTGCAGCGAAGCGTTGTCTTTTCATCCGACGCAGGTGCATCTACGTCGAGCAAAGATGCGATTGCTGGCGACCGGGAGCCGGTGCTGGCGGTCCGGTTGTCGGGACTACCGATCGACGATGCGACAGTCGCCACGGGCTGCGTGAGGCAGGCTTGACTGGCCTTCTTGGTACCGGTCGCGTCAGCTCCAGCCGGCAGAAAGAGTTTCCGTTCCATGATGGGCGACGGCAACCGGCTGGGGAAGAAGGAGAGCTGTCGGCTGGCGCCCCACGCCGAGAACAGATTGGGTATGGACGAGGAGGAGAAGGAAGAGGAGGTGTGACCGGGCGCGCCTGTAGCTGTGCCTTGGATACGGCCAGTCGCGGAACTGGCGGAGCCGGTTGGAGAAGCATGCCTGACATTGGCTCCATTCTCGACAGACCGGGAAGACTTGGCGCTGTGAGCTGGCAGGAGAGAAGCAGACTTGCAGGCTCGGCCAGACGTTGCTACGCGGTTGCCGGCCGAGGGTGGCGAGGCAATCGGGGGATGTGATGCAGCCACACAAACACTCTCTGGCGTTAGCGCTCCAAGCGCCTTGGGCTGCTCATTTTGAGCCAGAACAGTGTAGGCCTGTTGAGGATGATGGTGATGATGATGATGATGATGATGGTGCTGGTGATGATTTTGATGATTGCCCAACGCATGACTGACACTGCTGCCGCCGGTCGCACCCATTCCGCTGTCTGGTTGTTGCGTGAGTTTGTTGGCATCTGAATGGGTCGACAGGTCGGGAGAGTTTGTGTTGGAGCCACTGTTGCTGTTGCCACTGGAGCTGGACGATTTGGTGAAACGAAGGTTGCGCAGGTTGTTTGAAAGATCCACACAGGCCTTCGCAAATGACGTCATGTTACTGCGGACTGAACTGTTGACAGGGAAAATGGGCAGAAAGACCAAATCACACTCGAGAATGCCATAGCCCCCCAGTGGGTTGTCAAGGCGACCCAGATGAGGTCACATTGGCCAAAGTATTTTGGCATAGCAATTGCGGTAGCTGGAAATTAGCCTGACTACTATGGCAGAAATTGTGAAAAAAGGTGCATCCAACCAAGTTGCGAAAACGTAATCAAACCGTGTGTATACAGTGAAAAAAGACACACCATTTCGTTGTATAGACCTGCGATTAAATAGGAATACTTGAACCTATTTTACTACCGAAAATGGGAAAAATTAACAGTCGGTTGTTAACGGAGCCTTGTTGACGCAAAAAATGCTTCTTATCACAAAAGTCTCGTGGACTGCGTCAACACGAACGTGGTACAAAAGCCAAACGGCTGCAGTACAACGAGATTCATCCGTCTTCATCTTCTTCATTCACTTTCATACAAAATGAAAGTCCCTATTACAATGTTATAGACAGTCTTTTCCCTTTGTATCTACAAGGTAAGCATGCTTTAAGAAGAAATTCGATGCCTCCAAAGGCTTATTTATTTATTTATTTATATTAAAGTATTACAATATAAAATGAAAAAAAAACAATATAAATCT